TGAATAAGACAACGCTGGAAGTTCTAAAGTTGGGCCTGACCATAGGTGGTCAGTTTTGAATATATAATGGCAAGTAGAAAAATTATTTCAGGCAACAAAGGCACATTGAGGGCAAGGTTGGAAACTTTAATTTATCTTAAAAAAGTAATGTGTTACTGTTACCGTACGTTATTTTTCGTAAAATATAATTTATTGTTACCGCTATATTATTGGAAAAATTATTTGAAAAAATAACATATTATCATTACCGTTATTTGAAAAGTAACGATTCGTTACTTTTTTGTAATAGGTACTAAAATAATTAAGTTTAATTAGATTTTAAAATATTTTACTTGACAATCATTAACTGTAATAGTAAATATTATTACTGTATATAAGGCAAGTTTCTTTTTGGCAAATTGCCACAGGCAATTTAATAAATCGATGCTCAAAGCATCAAGTCCTGTGAAATCCCCCTCAACTTCGCGACATCTAATAAATGCTAACTTGCATCTATAAAGAATTTATTGTGACATCTAACAAATGCTAACTTGAATCTGTAAAGAATTTATTGCGAAAAAATATCATCTCATGTTCTCAGCCAGGAATGGCAATTGTAATATTACATACTACTTGGTTCGGAGCTACGGAGATGCACACGATTTGCGGCCACGTGGTGTTACATGAACCGAAAATTGTAAGATTTACACTAATATTATATGGAAGATCCGCTTTGTACCGTTGTTGGCGTTTTGAGATCTCAATTGTTAGTTAACATTACACAGTCTTTCCTGATACTTATTTATTAAATTTATTGTTATTAAACATCAATATTATTATTAAGAGTGCATTTTCAATTAATATTCGCTGTTAGTATTGAAAATCTATATAAGTATATATGTAACGTAAATTATAGATTTTCAATATTGATAGTGATAATTGGAATGTAGCCTAAGAGTACAACAATTTTTCAAAAAATATATTAAAAATATATTATAAAAAAAGAAAAGTATAAAAAAGTAATGATAAAAGTAACGGCAAATTCGTTATCGTTATTATAAAAATGTAGTAATGTTATCGTTATTATATAGAAAAAAGTAACAATTGTTATTGGAAAAAATAATGAAAATAGTAACGGCATTATTATACAAGTAACGCCTTACTTTCCAACTCTAATTGAGGATAAATTCATGCACAATTCACGCATATACGCACGCACGCACACGCACAAAAGCATTAGTATTGTGTATATTTGTCTATCTACGAAATTAGAAAATTAAAGCTAACGCATCGTCGTATTTATTGCATTTTGAAAATTGTAGAGCAGCTTTTTTAGGGTGCTTATATTTTCAATGATTTTGTCAAATTATGAATGTTGGATAATTCTGTCCATTATTTCAATCCAAAATGTGCATAATTACTGATCTTCAAACAAAAATATTTATGCAAAATCGCAATAAATGATACAACAAAAATAGCTAACAGATGTATATTCGAAACATTAAGAAAAAGCCCAAATAGCAAAATGAAAGGAACAAATAGCTAAATATTTAAGGAAACTGAATGTAATTGTAAATGTAAATTAATGATAAATGATAAATGTAAATTAATTGTAAAAAGTATACAAATGTTACTAAAAATATGTTTATGAAGCTTAAATTTAATCATAATTTTCTTAAAACATTTTTAAAATTGATGTAACAAATAATTAAAAAATTTATCAGTCAAATGATTTTGTTTTTTTTTTAGAAAAGAAAATTTTTTTCTTGAAATACTAAATTCAATTAAAAATGAAAAACAAATTTTAGAAACTTGGAAATTAATAATTTTTAGAAAAAAATCTTTAAGGAATAAAAAATTTTTAGCAATACATACAAAAAGTATATATTGAAACATTGTATTAAAAAATAATCATTTTTCTTTTTAGTATATTTTAAATTAATGTCTCAGAAATATTTCACGAAATAAGAGTAGACTGATTTTTATACTTCAGTCAATTAGACGAATAGTGTCAACACATCATCGAATATTACTTTTTCAAATACGTTGCATGCGGAAGTTTAATATTATATAAATTACTGATTAATTTGAATAGGTATTTTAATTCTAAAAATACTAATATATGCGATTAAAATGTGAATAAAAACGCATGTAAAAGGTTCTTAAAAAAATTCATTCAGTTTTCATTATTTAAAAGAATTTTTTCTCAAAAGAAAAATTCTCAATTTCAAACCACTATAATAAAGAAATCCTTTAAATTGTATTTAATTATAATTTAATTATATAAAACGAAAGTAATATATCGCTCTACTTTGAAGATATAATCACAGCGTACAGTTTATTATTTTATCTTATATATTTATTTCACTATTTTGCGTAAACACGAACTATTACGAATTCCGATTTTTCTTTCGATTATAGAACTATTCGTTAGTACTTTCTTCTCAATATTTTGACAACGTGACCTATCCATTCTCGTGTATAAGATTTTTCTTATTGTTAGACTTTTAACGGTTTTAGACCTTTAACAACTGCTTAACCGACATGGCTTTTGTTACGACCTTGTCTTTTTTATATCCTTCGTTTATTCAAGAATGGACTGAAAGAACGCACATGTCAGGTACATTTCTTACGTTTCACATGTTGGAGAAGACGCAGGTAGAATGTGCTCTCTGCGTGGTCCAGCGTAGCTGGGATTTAAAAGCGGGCTCAGCAAATCACGTCGCAGATAGTCGCCGGACCAGCGAACGAGACAAACGCAGAGTCCATATACCTGAGGACAACGCTCCGCCCGCTCCAGGCGAACGTTAAGTGAAAGCTCAGTTTAAATGCAGACGCCACACTACACGCATCTCCTTAAAGTCCTCTCGTTCCACGCGAATAGTTCTGGTACGTAATAACAATTGCATTTCAATAATTGATATCGTGCACAATTATGTTAACTCCAAATTCATGAATGTTCAAAAAGCAAATCTGCAATAGGTATTTGTTTCTTTTATCGTTTGCTTTTAATTTTCTCCTTTTCTGTAATTTATATCGCATGCCAAGGTATTTTTCGAGAAGTAAAATACAAGTTTTGATTGTTACGTTAGTTTTCGTTATATTTTTTCAAAAGAATTATGATGAACAGGTGGCAGAAAGATTTTAGAATTCTGTTCTAATTATGTCTTTAATGTCTTTTTCGTAGATCTGTTTTAATTAATATGCAAAGAATTACATTATTCTTATAGTAGTGTATTTTTTATATTTAAACAAGTATTAATTTTAACCGTTTTGGAGTTAATATAATTTAAAATTATTATTTTTAATCACAATTTCAATAAATCACAATCGGTAAATATAACGGTCAATTTTAACTCTTAACATACATGATGATTTTCCGATTCTTTACGCACGATGCCATTCAATAATATCATCTGGATTAATTTTCATCACTTTTGCAAGTATATGAAAATTATTAAATAATTTTCACGTATATCACTTTAATATCTTTAGTAAATATTTATAAGATTGTATATTATACAAAAAATTGTATATAAACATGTTATAACTATAATTAATAGTATAGTATATTAATGTAATTAATGTAATAATTTTATTAAGTACTTTTATTAAGTATATATTAATGTTGTAACTGTAATTACAGTTGTTACGAATGACCTAATTATATGTACTACACAAAAAAAAATTTTGCTAAAAAATCTAAAATTTTGCTGGACAGATCTGAAATTAAATTTTTTATTAATTAAAAATTATTAACATTATTAACAAAAAATTATTATTAGAAACATAAAATGATTACTAAAACATTAATTTTTTAAATATTTCAACATAATTTTCTTGATTTTAATAAAATTTATTTTCAGATCTGCATTCAGCAATATTTTAGGTAATTTAGATTTTTCAACAAAATCGTTCTGTGTATGTACTAAGAAGGATACGAATGGCTTATAAAATCGTGTGTATTAAGAGTTAATATATATTCAGCATATTGCCAAATGGGAAGTAAATACCAGCTGTGAACTATAATACCAAAACCAGAGCCTATTGTTTCCTCAGTCATCAGTTTTCAGTGTGAATTAAATCTGAAAAAGATAAAATTTAAAAGAAATAAAGGCCAACAAACGAGCAAAGATTTAATAAAATGCTACATTCTTTATTAATCTATAAAAATAGACAAGATAGGGATCTAGAATGAAGATTTAGGTAATAAAATACTATTATATATATATTCTTTATTAATCTATAAAAATTGACAAGATGGGGATTTTGTTAATTTTTATAGATTAATAAAGAATATATGTAGTATTTTATTACCTAAATCTTTGCTCGTTTGTTGACCTTTATTTGTTTTAAATTTTATTATACATACAAACGGTTCTATCTGAAGAACATATTCCGTCAATATGCAATCTTTGTCAGCAAAATAAACAGAATAGCAACTAACAGCTGCTAAACAAATATCGAATATATTGATAGCATTTTGACAAATTGATGGCAAATGCCAAATAATTTTATCATGCAAACAATATCAGCAAACAAATTGGCGGCAGTTTAATTGACGACAACACCAAAGCAGATCTGATATAACAATAGCAATGCGACGACAGATTAACATAACAAATTCAGAACAAATCTATTTTTATCTGCAAAGTATACATTGTTGCATTTTTATAAGACACTGCACTGACACTGTTTGCAATGGTAAAACTGCTTGGTATTTGTCATCAATTTGCTATCAATATATCCAATATCTGCTGTTAACTGCTATTCTGTTACCTACATTTTGCCGACAAAAGTTATATATTGACGAAAGTGTCAATAGAATTGGCAATAAAAAAGTATACATATTTTTCATTTTTGACTTTTTGTCAAATGTAATGTATCGACATAATTTATTGCCAATATTTACATTGTAGAACATTTAGAGATTTTCACATATGTGTGTGTGTTTGG